TGGTCAAATGATCAGTCTTTATTATTCTGTTATAATGATGGCATTCATTGATTTTTTTTTTAAAAAAAAAACCCTTACTCGTTGTTTCTCCTGCAATAAATCAACCTGTTCCTGATAAACAATTACTGTATCTATATATTTACACACCTGAAGACTTACAATGCACATACAAATTTGGGCATGATTTGTTACTTTGCTGAGTATTACTCTTTTTTTAACCTGTGATACTAAAGGATATAATTGTTCTGTCCCATGTTTGTCAGATTTTGGCATTAGAGTTTTGTAGGATCACACAATGAGTTTGGAAGTGGTTCTCTTGTGGTCTATAAAACAAAAGTGCTATGTACAGTAGTATTTTTTCTTAAGAGTTTGATAGAATTAATCAAAAAAACTGGATTGATTAGTTTCCTTTGAGTGAATGTTTTTGATAGATAATTCAATTTTTTATATAAGCCTCTTATCATTTCTAATTTTATCTTGTGTCATTTTGGCAACTCATTTTCAAATAACTTCATTTCCTCTGAGTTTTGGAATTTATTAGCACATAGTGATTTATAATAGTCTTTCATTATTTTAATGTTTGAAATATTTACAGAGTTTTTTTCCTTTAATCATTGATATGATAACTTGTTTCTTTTCCCCTTTTTCTTAATGTTATGTGCTAATCAATTTTACCAAGTGCTAAAATTGTGACCGTCTCTTTTCTGAATTCTTGAACATATTTTATAATAGCTACTAAAGTTCTTTGCCTTAAATTTCAGATGTGTATTATTGCAGGATTGATTTCCATTTCTATGAATAGAAATCCTTGTATGGATTGTATTTTCCCATATCAAGCTTTGTCATTTCCTGGTCAAAGTTGTAGTTGCTACGTTTCAAAAGTCCAGATTTGGGGCTTTCATTAGGTAACACTTGAGATGGTGTTTCCAAGAGGCCATTACTCTATTGGTACATTATTTAGATCCCTCTGAGTCTTACTGAGCTGAGGCAGTTCTAGAACAGACCTTACTCAAGAATTTGAATAGAGAGAAGCATCTCTCAGCATTTTCTAGTTCAAAAGGGTTGGGCTGGAATGATAGCACAGCTGGTAGGGCGTTTGCCTTGCATGCGGCCGACCCAGGTTCGGTTCCCAGCATCCCATATGGTCCCCCGAGCACCTCCAGGAGTAATTTCTGAGTGAAGATCCAGGAGTAACCCCTGTGCATCGCTGGATGTGACCCAAAAGGCAAAAAAAAAAAGGTTACCCATGAGTAATATGCATTTTTATGAGAGTGATGGTTGGAAACATTTCTGAGCTAGAGATATTGAGGTGCAAGGGATAATACAGTAGTAATGAATGCCCAGGGGCCCAAGGGTGAAAGTCATGGAGGTGTGATTCATGTGATGGAAAGAACATGCACCAACTCCATAAGGAGATCACCTACAGATTGCTGAAAATCATACCAAACTCCCAGTAGAAAATTTTCCCAAGAATATCACTAGAGAATTTTTTAAAAATAAGATAAAGACTTTGGCTCTATTGCGGCAACATGGGAAGATACCGTCATTGACAACATTGATGAGGAATACGATCGAATGATTCAGCACCTCCATGATTGTGCAAGGAATGCCGAAAGAGATAACCACAAAAAAACCGTCTTTCTTCGAACACTCTTGAACTTATTCGCCAACGTGGCTTGGCACATGCCTCAGGCAACCACAAGCGAACATCTGAACTGGCAAAACAGTGCAGAGAAGCCATCAAGGATGACCTCAAAAACAGGAGAGCAGCAGTACTGGTAGATGCAGCAGAAGCTGGGAAAAACATTCGTAATGCCCGCCTGTCCTTCACCAACTACAAAACCAAGATGACTGCCCTCCGACATCATGATGGATCTATCACATCTTCCAGAAGGGCAATGGAGAAGATTATTCATGACTTCTACTCAGATCTCTTTAATAGCCACATCCACTTGCCCACATACCACATACCACATGATGGATATGTCGTTCCCAATGTTCTCCCTTCCGAAATCCAACATGCCATCTCGTCGGTAAAGAAACAAAGAGCACCTGGCCCAGACAAGATCAGACCTGAACACCTGAAGAACTTACCATCAGTACTCATCAATACATTGGCTCGACTCTTCACACGCTACCTGTCTGAATGCAAGGTTCCATCCCAATGGAAAACCAGCAGGACTGTACTACTATACAAGAAAGGAGACATCCACGACATTGGCAACTATCGCCCAATCTGCCTATTGTCTGTCATCTACAAACTATTCACTCGAGTCATCCTGAGTAGGATTAGCAGAACACTAGATGAAGGACAACCATGTGAACAAGCTGGATTCCGAAAAGGATTCAGTACCATCGACCATATCCACACAATAACCAAGCTCATTGAGGTATCTCGGGAGTTCAAGATGCCGCTCTGTCTAACGTTCATTGATTTAAAGAAGGCCTTTGATTCTGTTGAGACGGAAGCCGTCATGGAAGCCCTAGACAATCAGGGCGTACAAACTCAATACATCTGCATCCTTCGTGAGCTCTATTGCGGATTCACTACCAAGATCTCACCATTCTACAAAGAAGTAATCATCCATATCGAGAGGGGTTCGGCAGGGTGATACCATTTCACCAAAACTCTTCAGTGCCACCCTCGAGAACATCATGTGACGACTGGAATGGGAAAACATGGGAGTGAAGATAGATGGTCGGCAACTACACCACCTCCGTTTTGCTGATGACATCATTCTAATAACACCAAACATCAGCCAAGCGACACAAATGCTGAACGACTTTGACCGTGAATGTGGAAAGGTCGGACTACAGCTGAATCTTACGAAGACAATGTTTATGAGAAACAGCCTTGTTCCTGACGCTCCATTCGCTCTCAACGGAACCACCATCTCCGAATGCAACAGTTATATATACCTAGGTCGAGAAATCAACATGATGAATGACCTGGCACCTGAGTTGTGCAGGAGGAAGAGAGCGGCTTGGAATGCCTTCAAGAGCATTGAAGAAATAACTAAAAGGACAAAGAACCTCCAGCTACGAGCACATCTCTTTGATTCCACTATTCTTCCTGCATTAACATATGCCTCAGAGACCTGGACCCTACGAAAACAGGATGAGAACGCTATTCGGGTCTCTCAAAGAGGAATCGAAAGAACTATGCTTGGAATATCACGATTCACTCAAATGAGAGATAGAATCCGGAGTTCTGATCTTCGTCAACGCTCAAGAATCAGGGACGCTGTCTCATTTGCCAAGACATCAAAAATCAGATGGGCTGGACACGTAATGAGGTTTACAGACAACCGCTGGACTAGAGCCATTACTGATTGGATTCCACGGGACATCAAAAGATCACGTGGACGCCCACCTATAAGATGGTCAGAGTTCTTCGTCAAGACCCTAAATGATTGGTTTGAGGCTCTGCATGTTCCTAGAACGAACAGATACCATTGGGCTATGCTAGCACGCAACCGGGATGAATGGAGATGTTACTGGCACCCGCTCGAATAAATCGATGAATAACGGGGATTAAGTGATTAAGTGAAGTGATTAAGATAAAGACAGGGCCAACATCTAGTGAAAATGTGCTCAAACTCATTAGCAATCAGAAACTGCAAACATGAATGGAGAGAGAGGTACTATTTAGTTTTCTAAATAGTTTTGGCAGTTAGTAGATAGGAGAACAAAAAGTATAAGGTAATATCTCTGTCTCTGTCTGTCTGACATTTTCTCTTTCTCTCTCTCTCTCTCTCTCTCCCTCTTTCTCTCTCTTTCCCTCCATCTCTCACCACCTCTCTTTCTTTCATAAGCATATTCTGTAAAGGAGGTTGGAAGAGAGAATATGTTCTTATTTTACTGGTTAGACTGGCAACATTTTAGAAAGCTGTTTCATTCCATAAGAAATATCGGAAGTTTTAGACCTGTTTAAGTGGGATTTTAGGTAGGGCGTTTGCTTTGCGCGCAGCCGGCCTGACTGACCCGGGTTCGATTCCTCCACTCCTCTTGGAGAGCCCAGCAAGCTACCAAGAGTATCTTACCTGCAGGGCAAAGCCTGGCAAGCTACCCATGATGTATCCAATATGTCAAACACAGTAACAACAAGTCTCACGATGGAGACGTTACTGAGCCCGCTCGAGCAAATCGATGAACAATGAGAGGACAGTGACAGAGTGACAACAATCGAAAAAACACTCTGGTTGTATTTATACACATAAAGTAACATACGCATAGAGCAGTCCATGTATCAGTGACCATTATTCTAACTGCACAGGAAAAGAAAGAAGTATATACAGGTATTTTGAACAATTGTGCCTTTGGGTAGCTATTTCTCTAGAACTGGATGAAGAGACCATGCATCCATCATTTAGACTGTATGTATGTACAGAAGTATGAAGGATTTCTACTGTGAGTTCAGTAGAAAAATCAAATTAAATTGCATGCATAATAGAGTTAAAATTTACTTGATTTATGAGCTAGAGACATGCACACATTGTAATAATATAAGGGCACATTGTAAGAATTAAATGCTATGGAAGCTTCATGACTAGATGGTGACAAAATTGTTCTTTTCCTAGGTATTTTAAACTCAGTATTAAAAAGAGATGGACTGATCTTTAACAGTATTTGGAATAATGACCACCAAGTTGGTAACCTTTAATTACCATCTAACCCTTAGCATAAGGAAAAAATAAAGGCAAATGAAGGGAGAAAATACGCAAGGCAGACAAAATCAAGAAAGAAATGAAAACTGGAAGGCACCAGACTGGAAGGGTTCCAGACACCACAAACTGCTATTGCTTCCAGAACTGTCTTTCCATCACCTCTTGGCAGCTGCTAAACTCCATCAGCCCTGTGTTAAATTCCATTTTGACCTCAGTTCATCACTGCAGTTAAATTCTGCTACTTTCTTCTAAACTAGTAAATCATCTGCTTCCTGAGTTAGGTCCATGTTGAGTTTGTGCACTACACGGAACTTACATTTTCACACTGTGGACTGACTGCTGGCACAGAAATAGAGTGCCGAGTTTTCCAGTTCAGAAGACTTGATTTCCAAGCTACAGAGTGAGGATAGGGGGCATTCAGCAGAGAACCACTTCTTGTCCAAATCAATTTGACTAATAACTTCTTGATTCTGAAGGTAAGCCAAGAACCTAAATTCTTTATCCTGGATCTGTTGATACCAGTAAACAAAAGAATGTCCTTTGTGTGGGGTACAATTCATCTTTGCCTTCTGTCCTTGGTTTTTAACCAAGTATGCCGGAGTCTGGATGACTTTGACATTAATAGAGCCTGTAAAGAAAGACAACAGAAGGTATATCGAAGACCCAACAGGGGAAAAGCTTGGGGCAGGGGTGGGCAAGCTCAGGACAGGGGTTTTCTTTGGTGCTCAGGACTCACCTGTTCCCAGGAGGCAAAGGGCAAAACAGCAGAGGAGTCTGGAGTCCATGATGATATCAAAGTGGTAAAATGCCTTTTCTTGCTGTCTCATCAGCATCCTCAAGTGACGTGTTCGCTCTGCAGACTCAGTCACAACGAGTGCTTCATGTTATTGGGCAAAGGGATTTTGTGGCATCAGAAGGGAAGAAATTGCAATATAAAAGAACTTACCAAAAGAAATAATATAACCCTTCCTCTGTTTCTACCTGTCAACCGAAAATTATTATGGCTTTTCCTGTTGGGGCTTCCTTCCACCATAATTTTCTTAGAAATAGCAACAATAGACACCCCGAGTCACTCACTCTCTCGTTCCTTCCCCTTGTTACACACTCCTGAGTGTGATCATCCCCTGCCTTATCGTCCTTAACATTTCTGTGCTCTTTTCTCCTCTTAATAAACTGGAATACCACAGTGTCTATTTTCAAATATTTTATCTTTGTTGTCTAAGTTTTTTGGTTTCACAGTTGAGTTATGCAAAAACTTTTTTTATTTCAGTTCTGTAGAATCTCAATTTCACTGTGTATACATGCACTTATATGTCTGTATATACAACTGCCTAGTTTAATTTTTGATCTGGTTGTCGCAGATAAAAAGGCAATTCAATTCTAATAAAATATCTAGCAAGAAATTTCCAAAATGGAAATTTCTATTGCTAACAGGATCTGATTATTTGAAAGTAGGACCCTTAAGAAACCAAGTCATATGGAAACCATTGAAAAATTAAATTGAGCATCTGTCTCTGGATAACAACCCAATATTTCCTCTCGATTTTTTTTTTTGCTTTTTGGGTCACACCCAGCATTGCACAGGGGTTACTCCTGGCTCATGCACTCAGGAATTATTCCTGACAATGTTTGGGGGAACCATATGGGATGCTGGGAATTGAACCCGGGTCGGTCGTGCATGCAAGGCAAATGCCCTACCCACTGTGCTATCACTCCAGCCTCTCCTCTCAATTTTTGACTTTCTCTTTGAGTAACTAAAAGCCTAAAATACCTATATCTTTATATAAGGACATAAAAATCTTGTATGCTTATATTCATGAAACCAGAAATTCAATGTGTTTTTTTTTTAAAAAAAAGACTCCAGGGTCTAGAGGTATCACTCAGTGTGTTCAAGTTTAGACTTATATACTAGAACCCCCAGCACAATATGCCTCCCAAGCACTGCTGGGAGTAATGGTCCCCCAAGAACTGAGTCAGAAGTAACCCATGAACAGATGAGTTCCAAACAAAACAAATTAAACAAAAATAAAAAACTCCATTCTATTTTCAAATGTTCTCATTTGAATTAAGAGGTGTGTGTGTGTGTGTGTGTGTGAGAGAGAGAGAGAGAGAGAGAGAGAGAATGTGTGTATATGAAGCAGAACAGTTTTTATTGAAAGAAATTAAGAGAAATGTGGAGAGAAAAATATTAAAAGGTTAAGTTCAAGGATTAAATTCTTATCAGTTGATCACCTTCTATTTCTTTGCTCATTTTCCTCTATAATATTATATTCTTAAATAAGCCTTCACAAAAGTTCTCTTTACCCACAATGTTCCACTCATAAGCAGGCCCACCTGGTGATTCTCCTTTAAAAAATTCCTCTTAGATTTCTTTAATATGTTCAGACAGAATTGACAGATCCTCTCTGAAACTTTGCATTCTGTTTATAAAATATATGATGCCACAGTCTATTTTATTACACCCCATTCCATTGTAATTGCATTCCTACTCCACTGTTCACTCTTTGGAGAAAGGATCTGTTTTCTATTCGACTTCGTGTTCCTCATATTTGGAAGAGTAGCAGAACATAGTGAAATCTCAAGAAAAAAATGGTAGAGAGAAATGTAAGAGGATTGATTAAAAGACTGGAAGCACAGGAGCAAAACATCTGCCCTGGGCCTGTTTTTATGAGTGATTAAGAATTCAGAGAGTGCAGGAAGAACACTTACTAAAAATGAGAACGGGCTATTGAGGGTAGCTGTAGGGCTGAAGCAGGTTTCGGTACAGGTGGTCAGCTGCCCACCCCACTCTGAGTGCTCCCTGAACAGAGGTTCAAAGCCCTTGGTTGCTGTGAGTCAGCTTCACAGTGAGAGGAAACAGCCCTTTCTCCTCCAGAGAGGCACCAGAGCCTTCTGTGAGGTCTCCTCGCAGTGCATCCTTTCCAACAGTTGAATAATTAAGTAACCTCAAACGTTGCCCTGGGTCCTGCTGGAACCAGTACATGAAATTATAGCTCAAGTTTTGTTCACACTCTCACATGACTTTCTGTCTAGCCCCAGTGAGCAGGGGTGCTGGTGCCTGCTGGATTTGAGTGCCCAGGGTTCTGCGGGTGCTGGAATGTCTCCCTTGCAAGCCTGGGTTGGTGCCCAGATGGTTGCTCTTGAGCAGGGCTGGTGAGCTGGTGCCATTACAGTGGGCTGCACACCCAGGATAGGATTTTACCAACAAGGAGTTACTCTCACCGCCCTCAGGAGCCAAAGAGCCCCATAATAGAGGGCACAGCTGCTGTTGGCAGGAACAGGGCCTTTGTGAAGCTGTCACAGAAAGGACACAAAAGGGGCTGGGACTTTGGGCTCCCTACAGTTCAATGTTTAAAAGCTGCCATTGCTGTATAACGGCTGACTATCATGATGGTTTCTCAGTCTCAGAAAGCAAAGGGCATTGGCGTGTTCTTATCTGTCTGTTTTTTTTTTTTATCACCCTTCTAAGCACTTCATATATCTTAGCCCTTTGCTGAAAGTCCCATATCCAGAAGCGGTATACTCACAATGAAATGGTAGAAACATATACAGAGTTTATACTTTGCAATAGCAGGGCTAACGAATTCTGACATATTTCAGTTCGCATGGCCATGTATATGCAATGCCTGCTGACAGCATTTTAGACACCTGACTGTACTCAAGATGCATGTTGCATACATGGCTAAGTAGTGTTGCATTTAGAGGAAGTTAGAAGAGGACATAAAGGAGAAGGTTATATTCTCAACTATTCTTTTCAGTATTGCAAGAGATTCCTTGGTGTGCTTATTTTGGGAGACTTTTTCCCCCCCTGTAGAATTCTTAGATATTTTCAAAAGAAATACTGTAAGGATATATCAAGAAAATAATAAAAGGAGTTGCCTAGATATGGCAAAAGTTGCTTAGAAGGGCATAGTGTAAAGAGAACCAAAAATTATCAATAACAAGATGAGGAATTTTGAGGTAAGCAGTCTAGATGATTCAATCAAAATACAGAGGTTGAAGAACGGGATTCTAAAAGCTAAGAAACAGTGAATTGATTTGGTATAAGATAAACAATAACAAGAACTTTGCATTGCAGGACTGTAGCTCTAATGGTCTGACTCAAGAGAGAATGGAGAAAAGGATTCATAGGTTTCACCTGATTTTCAAAACTTTAAGCGATTTTGTTCTAGAAAAGCTGTAACAGCCAATTCTTCACCCAACATAATGTGCTAAATGCTCCCTTTAGATGTTCTTCACTTGTTGGGTTTTTTTTTATAAGTAAATGGGCATATTTCTAATATGCCTCTAATATGCCTCTTTCTAATGTCCACTCTGTGGAAGTGCCATAGCTTTGAGATATGTTTGAATATGTGTAATTGTCTTTCAAGTTTTGCAGTGCCAACATGTAATAGGGTCCCATATCTAATGAGACTGCTGCTAGGAGCTGCTGCTTCATCAGCACTGAACACTAACTTCTGGAGATGGTAACTATGTAATATGCTAGGATGGAGACTTCAATTAAGAAATGTACAGCTGGGTCAAGGAGATGGCTCAAAAGACCAGAAAACATGCTTTGCCTGTAGGAGACATGATCTGAGCCCCAGCAACACCCTGAGAACTGCCAGAAGTGTCTCGATTCTGCCTAAATAGATAAATAAAGTTAAACACAATTGAATTAGTAGCATGTGAAATCTTTGCAGAAAATAGTAAAATAAAAAAAATCCCTTATGAATATTAAAAACATAATTTATTTCCTAAAATAAACGAAGAAGAAACAGGAAAAAGTCAACAACATATGTACAAGACTTCTAATGAAACTTTTACACAGCAATGCCAAGAGAAATGAACAAAGGCTTCAGTGAAGCCACAATGAGGGGATTGGGAGGAGGGAAGCAAATGTTCTATATTTTGAATGTCAAGATGGTTATGTAGCGTAAAACTATGTCAAGATGCACTGAAACATATTCTCAAATGGATGACTCTCATGGCATCCATAAAGCTGTTTTGAAATGTTTTGCGACTGTAGTAGCCCCCAAAGTGGGAGAGGTTTTACCCTGGCTTTGTGTCTAAGGCAGGGAGCGAGCGCTCTGCCAAGTGTTTAAGAAACGCTTGAAGAATTCATTGTCTGGTTTGGGGGATTATTGGAATCCACAATAAAGAAAATTGAGGGGTTGGAGCGATAGCACAGCAGGTAGGGTGTTTGCCTTGCACGCGGTTGACCTAAGTTCTATTTCCAGGATCCCATCCGAGCATCACCAGAAGTAACTCATGAGTGCACGAGCCAGGAGTAACCCCTGTGCATCACTGGGTATGTCCCAAAAAGCGGGGGAAAAAAGAACATTCACCTGCCCTTGACATTATACCTGAAGGAACTAACACCTTTTTATTTTTTTTTATTTTTTTTTTATCGTTCTTTTTGTAATCCCATCAGCGGCCAAGACTCAGAGACTATAAAATCCAGCCCCCGGACGAGACCAGTGCAGTCTCCTGCCCCTGCGCCTGGCTGTTCCTCGCCGGGGTCCCTTAGAGGGGAGCGGGTTGAGCTTTCCTCCCCGCCCCGACCAGGGCTCCGGCAGCCGAAGACCTCCAGGACCAGCCACCACCATGCTGAGACCGCTCTCCGCACACATGAAGGTACTGGCAGAGGGACAAAGCCACGCGGGTTCTGGGGCCGAGATCTCCCAGCCTACTCGGATTGGAGTCGAGCATCCTCCACCCAGATCCTCCAAATTCCAGTAGGCGGGGGTCACACCCACCACCTGGCCCCCTGGCGCCTTGTAATACCATCAGCGGCCAAGACTCAGAGACTATAAAATCCAGCTCCCGGACATCTTATCAGGACATCTTTTTATGACATCTTATCTCATTCCTACTTTGAACAAACTTGCAGGCTATCGAATGTAGCCTGCCCACAGGGCAGAGTCTGGCAAACTCCCCGTGTGGTACCAAATATGCCAAATACCAGTAACAATGATGGGTCTCATTCTCCTAAAGAGCCTTGAATATAATCTCAGGGCTAGGATGAAAGAGACGTTACTGGGGCCTGCTCGAGGCAATCGACAAATTTTTTTATCGTTCTTTTTATTTCTGTTGTTATTCCTTTTTCCCCATTTATTTATTTATTTATTTATTGAATCACTGTGAGAAAAGCTACAAAGCTTTTAGGTTTATGTCTTGGTCATGCAAACATCAAACACATTTCCCTTCACCAGTACTTATTTTTCACCACCAAGAACCCCAATAAACACCCCCTCCCAACCCTCCCAATGCCTGTGAGGCAGATGAATTCTAGTTAACACTCTGTCTACTTTGATTCGATTCATTGTTTCGACAAAAGATGCACCATTATTATTTAGAGTTTACACCCCAAAATCAGACCTGCTAAAAAGGCATTGTGAAATAATTTGTTTTCTATAGCTGGTTACAAGAACCAAATGATGCCACGCAATTTTGGATTTCTGATATTTTACTTATTAAGCCTGGAAGTATTTCTGCTGAGAGTCAGGTAATTATAAGCTTGGTTTTTGTGGCTCTGGAGCCATGGCCGTGCCGGAGAGCCACTCGTTGGGGGCAACTCCTGACCTCGGTAGGGCGTGAAGGACGAGCCAGGAACGCCCTCCTTCCCATGAGGTTTCAGTTGCCCCATCACCACCGGCTCATACCTGGCTTTCCAAAAAGCTCCGAGGCAGCCACCATCTTGCTTTCCAGAGGGAGAAAAAGGCTAACAGCTTTTTAAAGTGAAAGCACAGAATTATATATTTTCATAAAGATTGTTAAACCAACAACATCATGGTTTGGGGGAAGGCAGCAGTGATACTGTAGGGTGGGGTGGGCTCCTGCCTCCCTCTCTTTCCTTCCCGTCCCCTGCCACCTCCTGCCATCTCTGCCTCTCCTCTCATTTCCTTCTTTTTTCCCTCTTCTTCCCCTCCCTCTCCTGGCCTTGCCTTGTCCCTTCTCTCCCTTCCACTCCCCTGCCCGTCATTTCTTTTTTTCTTGGGTTTGGGGCCATACTTTGTAGTGCTCAGGACTTAGTCCTGGCTCTGCACATAGGTATCCCTCCTGGTGAGACCAGGGGGGTTTACAGGATGCTGGGGATCAAACCTTGAGTGTGCTGCCTACGTGGTCTCCTGGCTCTTTTCTTGCTCGACATCTTCCAAACTGGGCTTATCTGAATCCTTATACACCTCCCCTCTCCCTCCCCAGGTGTCTGTACGCATCAGCTATTTAATCGTCCCTTCTGTTCACCTAAGTTTCATGCACTTTTTTCCTTCTTCAGGTTTATGCTCTTTCAATTTCTGAATTTCTGTTAGCTCCAACCACTTAACAGTAGCTCCTGTTTCCTGAGCTGGGTCCATGGTGAGTTTGTGGTTCTACGGAAAGCGAACATGCAGCACTGTGATTGACTGCTGGCACAGAAATAAAATGCCGAGTCCCCGGCTTCACTGGACTTGATTTCCAGGCTGCAGGGTGAGTTTGGGGGACATTGAGCTGAATATCTCTCCTCAAATCCTTCTGTTTTGTCAGTAATATCTTGACTTAGTAAGTAAACCAAAAACTTGATCTCTTCTCCTGGCTTCTGGTAATACCAGAACACGTGAGTATGCGTTTTCACAGGGACACAATCCATCTTGGCTTTCTGCTTTTCTTCTTTGATTAGATGTCGAGGAGTCTGGGTGACCTCAGAACCTGTGGAGGAGAAAAAATGCAGTGGGGGATAAAATCAGGGTTTTTTTATATTATGAGGACAGGGAAGTCTGGAAACTGGAATCAGACAAATTCGTAGCAGAAACTGACCTGATCCCCAAGACCAAAGGAACACACAGCAGAGAAGCTTGAAGCGCATGTTGACTCAGGGGACAGGCAGTGGTTTGTGGTATTTTGTCTAAGGCTCCTAGTGTGTATCTGCAGTGCCTTGGAAGGTGTTTGATGTCCACAGAAACAAACATCACACACGATGCAGGAGATCAGGGAGAGCTCTTCAGAATAACCAGGGCAAATTTCAACCTGCTTTTGTATCCTTCCCTGATTCATCTCTTCTACTTTTTAAAAAAATTTTTTCTTCCACTTTTTAAAAATTACAAAAATCACTTAGACATTATTTATTTGATATGCTAATGTGTGAATTTGCCTCTCTCCCTCCTTCCTTCCATCTTTAAATAATAAATTACACAGCATGAGGAATATCAATCATGCTTTTTAGACGTATCAAATAATATGGCAGCTGTTGCATTTACAAATTAAATGCTGAACTATACAAAATAATATTTATGGCAAATATGAAATGCAATGAGGAAATAATAAAATCAATGCCTGTTCTTAAACTGTCAATTAAGGAGATAGATTATTGCTGGACAATTTTAAACCTTAACCGGAACCCAGTTTAGATTTTTTTAATCTAATATTTTTATCACAGGTTTTGACACTTAAATAAGAATCTGTAAATCATTTTTAATTTTAAATTTGTATCTTTAAATTCAGCCAGAATAATTCTTTTCCCTCTCCCCACTGTGACGTTTTTAAAAATTCAACATTTATCTGTGAAATTAACTCATTTTGATGTAGCACTCCATTCTATTCTTCTATATTTTATTACCCACTATTGAATTAATGCCCAAATTTTTGTTTTTTTTTGTTGTTTGTGTTACTATAACTTTCCTGCATTCTTGTAAATGTTCTCTGTATATTCAAGTTCAAGATCTCTACACCTGGGAATGCAGAGATAGGTCTTTAGTATCATTGTGTCAACCTTACAGAACATGCTAAAATTTCTAATAACTTAATTACGGCCAATGAATAGTTCCAGCCATAGCTCATGAGTGCTTACAATTACTCTACATTTAGGATTCAACTTGTACTTGAGACTAATTTAGTTTTTAAAATCTATGAGATTGGAATTGCTTCTCATAGCATTAGTTTGCATTTTTCTAATGGATAATGAGGTTGAACTTTTTTTAATGCATAACTCAATTGTGACTTATGTAGACTGCCTTTTGCCCATATTTTATTTCTATTGATTAGTTATTATTTATTTGTTCCAATTCTTTACAAATTTCGGATTTCACACTTTTTTCTCTTCAAGGTGTTGCTAACATCTCCCCAATTCATGGTGTTTTTTTCTCTCTTTGCGATAGTTCTCAGTTAAACTTCTTAAATATAATTGATCATCTGTTTCTTTAAGATATTTGTCTTTCATTCTTCTTATTTCTTAGTTTTCTTTTGTTTTGGAACGGGTCACACCTGGCTGTGCTTCTCATATCACTGTTTTTAGGGATCACTCCTGGTGCGGACCAGGAACCATACTTGGTTCTAGTGATCCCACTGGGCTTGGCCACCTGCAAAGCAATCACCTTCACCGCTGTAATATTGCTGTGGCCCTTCATCGATAATTATGCATAAGAAACGTTTCCATAGACACGTTCATAAAGGTATTTACTAAAGACCCACAAAATTTACAAAGCAATTAGCAGATTGAGTTTTGCATTAAAGCATTTCATTCATTTAGAGTAACTGCTTTGCTTATGCTGTGAGAAGGAGCTCATTCTCACCTGTCCTTCCAATTGGTAATACCTTGTTCCAGAATTGTCTGTTAATGGTCCCTTTTTCCACCTACAATAAGACCCTTTTTCTATAGTGATCCTAAGTATGCTTGAGTCTGATTTATTACTGCAATTGTTTTTAATTTTTCTATATTATGTTTTCACTATTCCTATCATAAAGTAATGTGATGATTCTTAGGATAAAGTACCTTTTCCCCACTTCTTCAGTATTATTGAATATATCATCTTCAATGATATTCATGACTTATGAGTTATTTGGATGACCCCAAACACTGACCCCAAACAAGAATCTTGCCTATTCTTGCTCATCTTTTATACTTAGTATCAGATAATTTTTGTCAAATTTTGTTTGATTGCTTCTGCATTGATTATATAAGAATTATATAGAAACTGAAGAAACTAAAATAGCCTTATGGTGGGGCTTACATATATAATATCTGCTATGTATTCCAACTCGCTCCAGTTATTTGATAATTTTCAGTGATTTTCTATAAAGTTTTACTAATTGTCTACATGAATGTCTTGTTTAGAATCCAGAGAGTATAACGCAAGTGTTGTTTGCTGCACAATCGACCTGATTTGATGCCTGGCACCACAATTGGTCCCCTGAGCATCATGAATGATTCTTAAATTCGGAGACAGAGAAAACCTTTATGTATCCTTTGTTAACAAAGCTTATGTTAAGAAACCTTTTTTATCAACAAAATATTGCTTCTCTGGATTCCTTTGAATCTTCTCAACTTGTCTGTCAATAATTCTTCCCTTTCCTTCCTTCCTCGTTTTATCCTCTTGTTCTTGTTTCCTGGCTTTTTTTTCCACACAATGTTGAGCAGTAATTGCAATGATATTCATGACTTATGAGTTATTTGATTTAATGTTCATTGATTTAAATAAGGCCTTCAATTCTGTTGAGATGGAAGCGGTCATTGAAGTCCTAGCCAATCAGGGCATTCAAACTCAATACATCAGGATCCTCCATGAGCTGTATTACAGATTCACTACCAGAATCTCACCATTCTTCAAAGATGTCAAGAGAGGGGTTCGGCGGGGTGATACCATTTCACCGAAACTCTTCAGTGCCACCCTCTAGAACATCATGCAATGACTGGAATGGGAAGGAATGGGAGTGAAGATAGATGGTCGGCAACTACACCACCTCCACTTTGCTGATGACATTGTTCTAATAACACCAAACATCAGCCAAGCGGCACAAATGCTGGCTGACTAAAACTGTGAGTGTGGAAAGGTCAGACTCCAGCTGAATCTCACGAAGGCAATGTTTATGAGAAACGGTCTCGTTTCTGACACTCCATTCACTCTCAACAGAACGACCATCTCCAAATGCAACAGTTTTGTGTACCTTGGTCGAGAGGTTAACATGACAAATGACCTGGCACCCGAGCTGCGCAGGAGGAAGAGAGCTGCTTGGAACGTCTTCAAGAGCGTCAAAGAAATAGCTAAGAGGACGAAGAACCTCCGGATCTGGGCACATCTCTTTGATTCCACTGTTTTTCCTGCATTAACATATGCCACAGAGACCTGGGCCCTATGCAAACAAGATGAGAACACTATTTGGGTCTCCCAAAGAGGAATTGAAAGAGCTATGCTTGGAGTATCACGTTTCACTCAAATGAGAGAAAGAATCCAGAGTTTCGACCTCTGTCGAAGGTCAAGAATCAGGGATGCTGTCTTATTTGTCAAGGCGTCAAAAATCAGATGGGGGGCTGGTCACGTAATGAGATTTGAAGACGACCGCTGGACTAGAGCAGTTACGGACTGGATTCCACGGGATGTCAAAAGACCGCATGGCCGCCTACCTACCAGATGGTTAGACTTCTTCATCAAGATCATGAAGGATCGGTTTGAGGCTCTTCCTGTTCCTAGAACTAACAGACGCCATTGGGCTACACTAGCATGGGACAGGGACAAATGGAGATGTTACTGGCGCCCGCTCGAGCAAATTGACGATTAACGGGAAGTCAAGTGATCAAGTGATCAAGTGATGAGTTATTTGGATGACTCCAAACACTGAACCTGTGGCAAATGCTCTGGTGTTATAAAAAAAAAATGAGTAGAACTTGCAGTCTCAATGTCCACTGGCATCCCAGCATCACAGGGACGATCTGTATATCTGCAAATCATTTACTCAAGCAGTAAAGTCTCACCTCAAGAATATTTACTGTCGATTGTCCTTCTCTCCCAAAAGGGAGCATAACACAGCACACGCCATAACCATGCCTCCGGACCCCATGCCAGCCTGTTCCATTTGGGGTGCCCCAGAGGGGGATGGGTGAGACCCCTCCCAGCCCCAAGAAACCCAGCCCCGGCAGCCAAAAAACTCCGGAACTCATGGCTGCTCTCCATATACTCGGGCTGAACCTCACCCATGAGTGAATGTATTCCTAAACAATTCATACCTCACAATACCCGTACTCCAAGAGTACGGCACCGCATTTAAGGGAAACATATTTTTACAGATATATATGCAATATATATGCATATATATATTTGTATATATATGCACACAAGGCTCAACCATTAACAACATGTTAGTGATCTCTTATAAAAGGGCTTAATGGCCCCTGGGTGAAATGCAACAATCTTCACACTGTTTCCTCTAAGGAAACTTTTATTGGAGCATTTTCAGCGGTTTTTCATAACAAACAATACAAACACTGTCCTCCCGTTGTTCATCGATTTGCTCGAGCGGGCCCAGTAACATCTCCATTTTGAAACTTGCTGTTACTGTGTTTGGCATATTGAATACGTCACGGGTAGCTTGCCAGGCTTTGCTGCACGGGCGAGATACTCTTGGTAGCTTGCCGGGCTGTCCGAGAGGGGTGGAGGAATCGAACCCAGCTTGGCCGGGCTGGCTGTGCACAAGGCAAACGCCCTACCGCTGTGCTATCACTCCAGCCCAACAAACAATACAAAATAAATAAATTATTTTGGTTCTGCTTTAGGGCAGGGGTTGGGATTCAGGATGGAAACATCTGAAATATGGTGGTGGGAATGTGTAAAGGTGGTAAATCGGTGTTCGAATATTAAATGTAATCAAATATTGTGAACTACTTTATACAATTAAAAAATAAAAGAATAATCACTGTCACTGTCCTCGCGTTGTTCATTGATTTGCTCAAATGGGCCCAGTAACATTGTAAGACTTGTTACCGTGTTTGGCATCTAGAATACATCACGGGTAGCTTGCCAGGCTTTGCCATGCGGGCGAGATACTCTCAGTAGCTTGCCAGGCTCTCTGAGAGGGGCAGAAGGAATTGAACCCAGG